TGGATGGAACTGAAGAGTGTGTTGCTAAGAGAAATAAGCCATAGAGAAAAAGACAGATACCATTTGTTTTCACTCTTATGTGGATCTTGAGAAACTTAACAGAAACCCATGGGAGAGGGGAAGGAAAAAAAGAGGTTAGAGTGGTAGAGAGCCAAAGCATATGAGACACTTAAAAACTGAGAACAAACTGAGGTTTGATGGCGGGTGGTAGGGAGGGTATGGTAGGTGATGGGTATTGAAGAGGGCATCTTTTCGGATGAGCACTGGGTGTTGTATGGAAACCAACTTGACAATAAATTTCATATATTAAAAAAAAGAAAAAATCTGTCATAATTGTTTTAAAAAAATAAATTGTGGTTTATATACACAATGGAATACTACGTGGCAATGAGAAAGAATGAAATATGGCCTTTTGTAGCAATGTGGATGGAAGTGGAAAGTGTTATGCTAAGTGAAATAAGTCATACAGATAAGGACATATTCCATATGTTTTCAACCCTATGTGGATTCTGAGAAACTTAACAGAAGACAATGGGGGAGGGGAAGGTAAAAAAAATGGTTAGAGAGGGAGGGAGTCAAAACATAAGAGACTCCTAAAAACTGAGAACAAACAGGGTTGATGGTGAGGGTGGGAGGGAGAGGTGGGTGGGTGATGGGTATTGAGGAGGGCACATTTTGGGATGAGCACTGGGTGTTGTATGGAAACCAATTTGACAATAAGTTACATATTAAAAAAATATTTACTTAGTCCTTTCTCTTTTGTTTTTGCTAAGTATGGCCTTGGTTTATCATTTTTAGTTATGCTTCCAAAAACCAGTTTATAGTTTCATTGATCTGTTTTACTGTTTTTGTTTGTTTCTTTATCATTTATTTCTAGTCTAGTGTTCTTTATTTACTTTCTCCTGCTGGCTTCAGGGTTCATTTTCTGTTCATTTCCTACCTCATTTAGGTGTAACATGGTTGTGTGTTTGAGATTTTTCTTCTTTCTTGAGTTTGGCCTGTATTGCTATATATTTCCCTCTTCCAACCAATTTTGCTGCATCCAGATCGTTTGGCACTGGCATGTTTTCGTTTTCATTTGCTTCCATGTATTTTTTACTGTTTCCTTAATTTCCTGAAAATCTCATACATTCTTTACTACAATGTCTTTAACTTCATGTATTAGTGGTATTGCTGAATGTTTTCTTGTGGTTGACTTCAAGTTTCATAGTGTTCTGGTATGAAATTATTCTTGGTATTATGTCAATCTTTTTGAACTTGTAGAGGGCTGGTTTGTGACATAGTATGTGATCTGTTCTGGGGAATGTTCTATGTGCACTCAAAAGGATTGTGTATTCTGCTGTTTAGAATGGAATATTCTGAATATATCTGTTCAGTCCATTTGGTCCAGTGTGTCTTTCTCAGCCATCGTTTCCTTATTGATTTTCAGCTTAGGTGATGTGTCCATTGTTGTAAGTGGAGCATTAAAGTTCTCTATTCCTATTATTGTATAATTATCAATTAGTTTCTTTATGTTTCTTATTAACTGATTTATGTATATCAGTGGTTACAATTTTAGCATATAAATATTTAAAGATTTATATTTTCTCGTTGGATAGACCAGTTTATGATGATATACTTCCTTCCTCATCTCTTGTAACAGATTTTGGTTAAAATCTAGTTAGTGTCATATGAGTATGGTACTACAACTTTATTTTGACGTCTGTTAGCGTGATAAATTGCCACCTCTCCCCTCATTTTCAATCTACAGGTGTTTGGGTTGAAGATGAGTCTATTGTATGCAGTGTATAGAAGGTCTTGTATTTTTTTTTATCCATTCTGTTTTCCTATGTCTTTATATTGGAGCATGTTGCCCTTTTACGTTCACAGTGATTATTGATCGATATAAACTTAGTGCCATTGTGTTACCTCTAAAGTCGCTTTCTAGAGATTTTCTCTGCTTATTTCTAGTCTTGTTCATTTTAGTCTTCCTATCTCACTCAAAGAGTCCCATTTAGTAATTATCAAAGGGCTGGTTTAGAGGCCACAAACTCCTTTGGTTTTTGTTTGGGAAATTCTATCTCTCCTTGTATCTGAACGAGAGCCTTGATGGGTAAGTATTCTTGGCTGCATATTTTTGAATTGGGCATGTGAGGATATCATGCCACTCCTTTCTTGCCTGCGGGTTTCTATGGAGACATCTGCCATTATCTTTTATGTCTTTCCTTTTTAGTTAGAGACTTCTTTTGACTTTCTTCTTTTAGTGTTTTTCTTTATATGTATGTTTTGCTAATTTTACTGTGATATGTCTCCGTGTTGGCTCCTTTTTTTTATTTTAATGGGAGTTCTCTGTGACTCATAGATTTGTACAACTGTTTCCTTCCCCAGTTTGTGAACATTTTCCAATATAATTCACTCAGATAAAACTTCTCCCTTTTTTTTCTCCCTCTCTTCTTCTTCTGAGACTCCTTTGAAAAGAATTCTATTACATTTTATGGAGTTGCTGAGTTCCCTCAGTGTACGTTTGTGATGCAATATTTAATTTTCCTCTTCTTTCCTGCTTCATTTACCCCATAATTTTATCTTCTATGTCACTTATTCATCTGCTTCTATCCACCTGAGGTCATTACATACAATCAGATTCACATCTCAGTTATAGCAGTTGTAAAGTTTCAGCCTGACAGGTTTTTAGGTCTTTCCTATCTGCAGACAGGGTATCCTCCTGTCTTGTATGCTTTCCTCAAGAATAGCTAGTATCCTTATGATAGTTTTAAAAAATTCTGTTTACTTATGATAGTTTTAAAAAAATCTGTTTGAGGCATATTGGTTATATGTGTTTTAATTATATCCCTGGCAATGACCTTTTTGTCGTTTTTCTTTTGGAATGAATTCCTCCATCAGTCTGTATATCTATGTCTCTGCTTTATTAAGTTTTTAGGAAAATCATGTTATGTTTTCTGCTTCTAGAGTAGTGTCTTTATTGAGAAATGTTTGCATACTGTTGAGGACCTGACATTTCTGGAAGCATTTCTTGCATGTGCTGTGTGCACCGTGCTGTCATGTATTGGCTGCTCTGTCCCTCAGGTCAGACCCCTGCAGAGTTTCTCCTTCCTCCAGTGGGGAGTTTTTCAACTTTGTCCATAATGTTGTGAGTTTTCACTAGATGAGTTTGTTCCACCTGTTAAAAGAGGCTAATTCCTATCTCCCCTAGAGGTAAAGCTTTGCCTCACTATATGGTCAGTAGACTTGGTGCCTGTGGGGGTATATGGTGGTCTTTGGAGGGAGGGGCACGGTGCTGGTCTGGTTTCCAGGCACTCTTTTCCCTCAGATGAACCATCTGAGGAAGACAAGGGAGGGTGGATCTTGGTGTCAGTGGCTCAGCTTCTACTGGGGTGTGCTGTGCTGCTCACTGACCTCTGTCCATGATGATTGGTGGGAGGAAATATTGGCATCAACTCCCCCTCTAGTCCCTGCAGTTGGAGTTCCCAGCCGCCCCTGTTCAGGAAGCCATCACACAGAGAGAACAATCTGTACTCGTGGGTCCCAGTCAGAACCCTGCCTTCACCCTGTCTGTGTCCAAGCCATTGGCCCACCTGGTGGCACAGAGCTCTTATGTTTTATCTCAGGAGCTCTAGCTGGTTTGAAAACTCCAAATTGTATGAACTCAATATACAGGGACCCCACTGATCCTCTGGGAGAGGGTTTTTCTGTGCTGTGGCTGGAGCTGGTTATCCCACAAAGGCAGTTTCATGAACACTAGGGGCTTGGAGTTCATGGTGAGGAGCAACAAGAAGGCAGCATAGAGTTATCTGCTCTCAGCAGGGGCTCCAACACTAATGACCAGGGCAGTGAAATGATGCCTGTCAGCTCTCGTGTCCCATGAGAGGCAATGCCCCCTCTCCCTAATGCACTCCAAGAAGGGGACTGTCTCCCCCATGCGACCCAGGGGATCCTCAGACAGCAGTGCCCCCATGGGCCTCTGTCCTCCTTCTTCACAGGAGCACCGCCATGCCCACCAGGCTCCACCCCAGTGACGGCATGGACTTCTAAATCTTTAGTCTTTGAACTCCACATTTACAGGAGGTTAAATTGTCATGATTACCTTTATGTGTCATCTTGACTGCGTCATGGGTACACAGATTAACCACTGTTTCTGTGGATTTCTGTGATGTGTTTCCAGAAGAGATTGGGATTTCCATCCATGGTTTCTGTCTACCTGGGCATCACCCATTCCATTAAGGTTCTGAATGAAATCTGATACAGAGGGAGGAAGAATCCCCTCATTTTTACTTCCCCTGTGCTTGTTTGAACTGGAAGAGTGGTTCCCTCTGGCCCTTTCTCTGAGAGTTCTATCATTAGGTCTCCATGTTCTGAGACTAGACACTAGCTCAGAATCAGATGAGAATTACACCACTCATTTTCCTGGGTCTCCAGCTTGTGACAGTAGATCATGGGACTTCTCAACATATTTTGTCATAGGAACCAATGTGCTTTGGGTTCTTTTCCTCAGGAGAATCTGGACTAATACATGGAGATGATTTATCTCTTGTTGAGAGGAATTGAATAAAGCTGTAGCTCATTTAAAGTCCTGAGTAGCAAATACCAGGAGGGAAGTATCACATTGTTTGATTGGGACAAGGGCTCGGTGAAGATAATGGGGAGTTGTGGGATCCTGTGGTCCTGTCTGCACAGGGAGTGTATCTGAGACTCCTGTAAAGGTTCAGCTTTTGTGCCTCAGTAAATCTGCAATTCACTCATATTGAGGGACAGGAGTAAGCAATGCAAACAAATGTGTCTTTGTGCATGTTAGTCTAGTTTCCCTATGACAACACAGTTGCTAATCCAGAGAATTAATAGGTAAACACAGAATCATAACCAGGGAGGCTCCCTGGGGAAACTGCTGTGTGGAGAGGAAGCCCAAGACCCTGAAAGAAAACCTTCCTGTAACCTCCATCTGCACCTGAGCCTGGGAACACAAAGCAAAATTGTGCATACTGTTCGCCCCCTGGCGGTGCTGATACCCTCCTGCAGGGAAGTTTGTGTCTGGGCTCCCAGTGACGACCCCTCACTGTGTCTCTTGCACAGTAATATGTGGCCGTGTCCTCGGTCTTGAGGTTGTTCATCTGCAGATACAGCGTGTTCTTGGAGTTGTCTCTGGAGATGGTGAATCGGCCCTTCACGGAGTCTGCGTAGTATGTGCTACCTCCACTACTACTAATATATGCAACCCACTGCAGCCCCTTCCCTGGAGCCTGGCGGACCCAGTTCATTTCATAGCTACTGAAGGTGAATCCAGAGGCTACACAGGTGAGTCTCAGGGACCCCCCAGGCTTCACCAGGTCTCCCCCAGTCTCCACCAGCTGCACGTCACACTGGACACCTGCAGACACAAGACATCTTGGTCAGGAAACTGTCACAAATCCACCGATTCTCACTCATATCCACTCACATACTCAGTGTCTCTCATTCACCATGAATTACCTTTTAAAAGAGCAACCAGGAAAACCCAGCCCAGCACAAACTCCATGGTGAGGTGTGTGTGTTCTGTGCTGATCACAGAATTGGAACACCTGGGACTTCTGGGGCTGGGGCTCCTCTCCCAGCTGCAGGGTCGGTGCTGGGCTGGTTTTATCAGCACAGAGAGGGCCCCATTTGCATGTGCTCTGACTATATATCAAACTCCAGACTTCAATTTGTTTCAAATTTGAAACCAGTGTTTGAGAGGCACTTCTAGATCACTTCACAGCAGAAGGCGCTGTGACAATACAAATAATTCTAATCTGTGAACACAGTTATGTTTTCAACTGTGTTTTCCATTTACATGTCTTTCTCCCAGCACATCATGTTTGGTATGCTACTTTACCCTTAGTGAAGTTTAATTGTAAATACTTTATTTTGTGCCATATAATTTTAATATGTGTTTATTTTTGTGTGACAGAGAGGAGAGAGAGAAAAGGGGACAGAGAATCCCAAGCAGGCTCTGCACAATCATTGCAGACCCTGCCTCAGAATTAAACTCAGGAACCATGATATCATGACCTGAGCCAAAATGAACAGTAGGCACTTAACGGATTGAGCCACACAGGTGCTCCATTTTGTGCCATTTTCAATTGTGTGATTTTGTTATTTTTTTCATATAGTATGTTTTTGGTGTGTGGAAATACAACATATTTTTGTATGCTGATTTGTATCCTGAACTTATCCTGAGTTTATTAGTTCTAATACTTTTTTCTGTGGAGTTTCTAAGGTTTCACTATATGTAAGTTAGTGTGATTCTCAAATAAATAATTTTCTTCTTACTGATTTACATGTCTTTATTTCATTTATTTTAATTTTTATGGGTACATCTTCAACTTGTAGGAGCAGAAATCTTATTCCTTCTTTGCTTCTGTGTTCATTATCTGGTCTAAGGATTCAATTGACATAAGACAGATTTACAGAAGGGAATAAATTTCATTTTGCATGTGCACAAGCTTCCTAATAATATGACACCCAGAGAATGAAGAAACTAGGTGGCACTTGTGCCTTTTAGAATAATAAACAATGAATTTGCGAAGAGTTAACAAGACAGAGATTTGGGTTTGGGCAAGTCAATTAGTGAGGAATTAACAAGGCTTGTTTGCACAGCCTTCTTGGTGCTAAGTTCCCATTTCTGGTGCTAAGGATAGTTCTTCCATTCTGGTATAGGGGAAGAAGTTTCCCAGAAGAGATTTATTTCCTGCTCTCAGGGGGACAAAGAAGGGTCACAGTTTCCTTAGACTAGCTGTTACTCAATTGACTTTCCTCCAAATAAGCAATGTGACAAGATGACATACATTGGGTGCCATATTTTACTGATCTTCGTGTTACCATGTGGAATACCTATGTAGGGAATGAGCATCCTTGCCCGGCTCCTAACGTGACAGGAAAAGCTTCAGTTTTTCACTGTTAAATATGCTGTCAGGTGTGGGCTTTTCATCTATGGCCACGATTTTGTGGAGGTAATTTCTTTCTTTCCCTCAGTTGCTGAGATTTTTTAATAATGACAATTTGTTGAATTTTGTCTAGTTTTATATGTGTCAATAGATGATGATATGGATGATCAATAGATGTGACTGTATTGTCACATATGATCCTTTCATTGTGCTGTTGAATTCACTCTGCTAGGATTTTTGCATGTATGTCCATCTGAGATATTGTCCTTTAGTTTCTCTTCTTATAGTGTCTTTTGATTACACATAATAGTAAGGTTGGTCTTGTAGATAAATTGGGACATATTCCTTTCTTTTCAGTTTTTGGTAAGAGTCTGAGAGGTATTGGCATTAAATCTCATTTATATTTTGATACAATTCATACATAAAGCCCTCTTTTAGTAAACTGAGTTTTTTTTTCTTTTGGGGCGGATTATGATTAGATTATAGATTTAGTCTTATTTGTTTTCATTCTGTTAATTTTCTATTTTCATGTACAGTCTTGCGGATTCTTTGACTCTTTAAATTTCCTAGTTGCCCTTAGATATCTAATAATGGGTCTATAGATATCTAGGCATTTTCTGTTATTGTTTTTCACTTCCTTGGTATCAGTTATGTCCCCTCCTTAATTCTTATTGTATTTGTTTGAGTTTTACGTATTTTCCTACTAGAGATGCTTTTTAAATTGCATTTAGCTTTCCAGATATCCATTTCAATTTGTTAATTTTTTGTATTATTACACTTTTTATTCCTTTTATCTGTTCTAATAATTTCTAATGTTAGTTGAGTTAATAAAAATGCCAATGAATGTATCTGGGAAATTCTTATTTATATGGTACCACAAAGCACACAGAAGTGAGAAAACAATCCTGAGAAAGAAGAACAAACCTGCAGACAGCACACGTCCTTCTTTCTAAGTATATTGCAGAGGTACATTGTCTATAACACTGTGCTGCTGGCATAGAGTCAGACAGACCAGTGGAGCAGGTTACAGAGACCAGAATGAAATGTGTCTGGATGCAGTCAGCAAATCCTCCATGAGATTTCATAGAATTAAAATTAGGGAAAAAATGGCCTCTTTCACAAATGGTTTTGATTTCCAGTGAGTAAAATAATGACATTTGGTCCTTATCTTATACCATACAGATAAGTAGACCCCCATTCATCCCTGGAGTCTGGCAGATCCACCTCATCAATTAGCTACTGAAGGTGAATCTAGAGACTGCACAGGAGAGTCTCAGGGACCCCTCCCCTGCCAGGCTTCATCAGGTCTCCCCCAGACTCCACCAGCTCTACGTCACACAAGACATCTACAGATACAAGTCAGAAAACTGTCACACATCCATTGTTTCTCTCACTCATATCCACTAACATAGTCAGTGTTTCTTGTTCATCATGAATTACTGTTTAAAATAGAACCAAGGAAAACCAAAGTGAACCCAACTCCATGGTGAGATGTCTGTGTTCTGTTCTTATCACTGAATGTGAACACTTAGGGGCTGGGGCTCTTCTCCCAGCTACAGTTTCAGGGATGGGAGGGCTTAATCAGCATACAGATGTCCTTTGACAATATAGTAAATTTTGCAATAGAATCCTCAAGAAGCAAGTGACCCTTGGCAGGTGTAAGGGATGGGGCAGTGTTTTGTGTCACAATATCTTTCAGGACATTGTGATTTATTAATTTGTGGTTTTGCTGCAGTGATTATAAGTACCGATGATAATCCTTATTTTCACATATGCACCCAAACACTTGAGGTAAGAATCAGTATACCACCATTGTAATGGTTAACAGATACACTGCAGCAGAGACAGAGTGTGTGAGTGTCCAAGAGCATGTATGAGGTGAGAGTAGTCCCAGTATCTGAACCTGTGCTCCCCATCAGGGGACCCACTTGCCTCCTGAACCGCATGCAGGACAAGGCTGGACATCCCAGTGAGGTTTGCAGGTTACTGGCATTCTAGAAGTCCCAGGAGAGTGATGGATGGAAGCCAGGTCTATTCTGTCACAGAAATTGGAGAGAGTGAGAAGCCTCAACAGAGACTCACAGAACTGATGGAGATGCCAGAGGTTTTCTACAAACACAAGGGGTCATTTACACATGAACTCTATGTGGACATCAATGTAAACCCTCAACATGGGGCCTCTGGGTGGCTCAGTTGGTTAAATGTCCCATTTTGACTCAGGTCATGATCTCACAGTTTATGAGTTTGAGCCTTGTGTCGTGCTCTGTGCTGACAGCTCAGAGCCTGGAGACTGCTTCATATTTTGATTCTGTGTCTCCTCTCTCTCTTCCCCTCCCCCACTCATACTCTGTCTCTCTCCCTCTTAAAAATAAATAAACATTAAAAAAATAAAGCCTCAATAAAGTTAAAATGGTTGAATTTTATTAAGATATGTTGAAGGTAAAACACCTGAGATCAGGAAGGATGATGTTAATTAAAAATATTCTTTCATCTATTAAATGGAGTTCATTATTCTTCTAAACTCTTGTTAATGTGGGAATGATCAAAGATATGTTTATCCCAGTGCCTGACCCTGGGAAAGTTTGTGTATTCCCATTATCATGGTTTATTCCAAACGGGGAGGACACGTGTGTGTTTCCACAGCTTTGACATTCCCTTTGCGGTGTTCATGTCAGAAGAAGTGTGCAGAGCCTGGATCTGAAAACACTTGAGAGGAGACCAGCCCTAAACCAATCTCTTGTCCTGGATCATGAGCTCCCTGGTCTCTGAGTTCCCCCTGGTGGTTGTGATTACCCCCCGTTGGTCCCCGTGCTCCTGTTGTTTCAGAGACCCCTGCAGAGATACAGTGACTCCTTTATTCCCCTCCTCATTTATGCAACATGCAAGGGTGAGACCCTTCCATCATGAGCACTGCAGACCCTTCTGTTCACAGGATGTCTCCTCCCACATATTTCCCGTCTTTGAACCCCTCACTCTGCTCCTGATGTATAAATATACAGTTATATTTCCTTTAATCATTGGTGAGCAACAATATTGAATAGTCACCCTTATCAGCTGGAAAGAGTCAGAAGAACTTTTCATTTGATAATCAAGAGAACGAAAAGAAAGATTTTTGTGCTCAGAAATTGTACTTTCATGAAACTGGGATAAATGTGATCAGCTTCAAACATGTACCACCTTTAAGAAAAAAAGGAAGTGTGAATCCCAGAGACAAGTTGGAGTCTGAGATTCAGAGCATTCTGTCTTTGAACCTAACAGGTTTCCCCGGATTGATAATCAAATTGTTTCTTGGTGATGTACTTCTAAATTACACTGTATTTCTTCTGGCATAGGAATGTCAGTACCTGTTATGTTATGGCTACCATGCAGAAGCATTCAGAAGAACATGAATGGTTTTCTGGAAATGCAGGTCGGCTGATGGAGAGGGTTTCACCCCAGGATGGAAGGTACCACGGTCCCATCCTACCCAAGCTACATGGTTAGATTTGGGGTTTTAGAGGTACTGAAATTTAGGTACATTTTGGACTTGACTTAATATTTAATGATTTGACATGTTGGAGGATTTGGGGGTGTGGTAATGTGAGTGTCATGTGGGATGGAGGTGAACTTTCCCTGACATCAGTGTGGACTGTAGTCGTCTATGTCATTCTTGAACCTGTGTAGAATAACTTATGTGGCCAAAGGGACTTGTCACATGAGATTA